TCTTGTGAAGTTATACTTTGGTATCGGTTTCACAAATAAGGAAATACTTAATCTTTTGGCTCATCAGCATCAAATTATTATCAGTGTGTGTCTATTTCGAAGAAAGAACCACACGGACTTGGAAGAAATTGCTTCTTTTGTACATTATTCTCGTAACATTATGACTCTTTTTTTCGTAATATTACAACTTTCTTTTCGTATTATTACGACTTTATTCAGGTAATATGACTTTATTCAGGTAATATTATGACTTTATTCAGGTAATATTATGACATTATTCTTGTAATAATAATATGACTTTATTTTCGTAGTATTACGACTTTATTCTGGTAATATTATGACTTTATTCTTGTAATATTACGACTTTATTCTCGTAATTTCCAAAATTGTATTTATTTATTTATTTATTTTTCCTCTTAGTATGGCCCTAATACACTAATACTCCGTCGTAATTATTTAAATTTAATCCTTGAATTTATTTATTTTCTTTAGCAATTAGACTAAAATATAATACATACTATTCCACACTCTCCCCACAGACATCACAGCTCACAGTAATGCTTTTATATATATATGTACAAATTCCTGCTTTTGTCCCAGTTTAATGTAACTAATCACACACGTTCAGCTAACGTTACACCAGAGCTGTCGAATATGCTGCCTTCAAGTTCAGTGGTAAATGTGGAAATTATGACTTGAAAGGTGGAGAATAGAATTTGCAAAAATTGAAAGATCTGATCATTTAATTTAATTTTCTTATGCATTTTTATGTCCAGGATGCATATATATGCAAGTATAATAATGCAATTCAAATATAGAATACAATAATGCTACATTATTTGAAATATCTCTGTGGATAGAGAAATCTCCCTGGGCTGAGCGTTTAAAATTGCAAGTTTTGTAAATTAAGTTACATTATGCTACAAAGCAGTTTAGTAGTTGTGTAAAAAAAAGATGTGCACTCAACTCTTTTTCTTTTATCTGTTTCACCGAGAAAGTTGTGTCAGCGAATCTTAACAATTACAGTGAAGCAGTCATTGGCAATGAAATTCTTAGTCCTCAGGCTCTCTTCAACAATGTTCATAAAATAAAAAGAAAAGTGAAAAGAAGAATCTAGGACATATTGACATACAATACTGCTGATGTAAATATATACGAATATACAACATAAGAGTAGTAGACAGGTGTACAGTAATGATAAAGAAAGAAAGAAAGAAAGAAAGAAAGAAAGAAAGAAAGAAATATTTGCAACTTGATTTTACCAAGAGAACGTAAAGGCAGCATTAGCCCCTATAATGGAGCACAGCAAAATCGATCGGGGGTTTGCAGAGCTACTTTGGCTGAGCTGCAGCAATAAAAAAATGAAAGTGTGAGTCTGGATATTGGATTTCACCTGACCAAAAGGTCAGGAAAGTAAAAGGACACCAATAAACGTTGATGTTCTGACTCAGATGCAACCAGGAAACAAGCTCCCAATCTGACTCATTAAGCCATAAATGTGACCAAGGGAACATAAAACTGCTTGTGGATGAAGCCTCATGTGTGGATGATTTTCACATCAATATTGCCACAATTGACACAGAACCTCCAGCAAATCTTTTATTTCAGTAATGTGAAGACACACGCTAGAAATTTCTTCTTTTTTTTTTGTTGTTGGGTAGACTTTACACAAGACACTAAAACACCAGTCTGTTTACTCACTGTCAGTCGGTCAGACGAATGGTCACATCAAACGTGAAATATTTGTGGCTATTCTCCGGGGTGGTGTGACAACATGAGCAGCTTGAGCAGACCAACAGGGCCACATGTATACATGAGGGCATATTCATGTATACATGTGGCCTCCAACTTCCCATTTCCTGCCAACTAAACAGCTGTTCACGGACACAAACTGTCAGACAGTAAAATCTATTTCCTGATCTCTGATGAAAACAATCACTCATCAGAGGAAGGACATTCAGTTGACTGCAGTAGTTAATTTAGCCATGACTATCATCACTGCATGCCTCATTTTTTATTACCTTATTTAAATTCTAATCTTAATTCTGTCCAAGCTCATCCACTCCTAAGTGTCCCAAACTTAAACACACACTTAAAAACAGGCTAAAATGATTACAGTGTCCCAAATCAAGTTAAAGTTTGATCTCGAAGAGGGTGCCCTGGTTGCTCACCTGGTAGAGATGGTTCCCCATGAGCCTTTGCTGCAGCGTCTATGGGTTCAACTCCAACCTCTGGCCGTTTGCTGCAAGTCATCCGCTCTCTCTCTAACTGCTTTCCTGTCACTCTACAGCTGCATCTACCAATTAAAGGCAATACAAGCCCAATAATATATATATATACATATATAAAGAACAAGAGAATATGTACAAAGACTCAGTTTACATTGTCCCTGTTATTGTAGGTGGGTATACTATACAATATAAATGTAAATAGAAAATAGAATTAAATTAAAAGCAAAAGGTAAAATGAAAAACAAAGAAACCAGTGCAGAAATTATTAGATCATTTTCAAAGATAATAATAATCTTCTTGTCGTCTTTGGCTTTTTGTACAGGCTGGGGCACAGCCAGATTAACCTGCTGTGGGCCATGGGGCAGGTGAAGCACACTTACTGTATAAATAGGAAGATTATTTTTGTAAGTAGAATGGTTGGACCATACAGTATATAGACAGGATTGTGTTATGGGCATTGTTTTGTTGTTGTTTTGTTGTTAAGGTGAAACACGAAGCTCTGGAAATCTGCTAGGACTAATACTGCTCTTCGTCTTTACACCTCAGCGCTGAGGGTCACTATCCTGTGTATTCACCAACATCCTTACTGCCCCTTGACCCCCATTTCTCCTAGTCTCTTTGTTTATGTACCCAGGCATCACGTACAGTGTACAGACTATGCATGGGAGCTTCATATATTAGGTTTACTGCGTGCTTATAGGCCACAAACATGTCCAAACACTGTCCACGTCCAAGAATTCACCCATTTTATCTAATGCTAGAACTTACCTGCAGATCAGCTTTAGACTACTGCAATTTGAGTGCAGCTCCTAGCTTCATATGTTGTTATTTTCTATTTTATATCTTACTGCAAATCTTCAGCTAGAAGCAACAGCAGGGCATTCAACTGCAGCATGTTGTTAAATACAATAAACACATTCAGTGATTAAGGTGTTTATCTGTAATAGGTAAGGGCTGTCCTCGCCAACAGGTGAGACCAGTGTGTGGGCTGTATTTGCATAGTCTGAAACATATAAGCCTACAGTTCGAGCCTGTTCATTTTACTACCTGGGCACACAGTAGATTAGTTTCACAGGTAAGACTGAAAAGGATCATTGGGGTTTGATGTAATGAAGGTGGACAACATTATTTGAGGAAAAGCTGTGGAAAATCCAGAGAGAAAAGTAGGTAGAAAAACACACACACTCACACACACACACACACACACACACACACACACACACACACTCCAAGAGACGTAGAGACAGACGAGAAAACACATATATA